GATAGAAATATTTTGTCATGTGATCATGGTTTTATAACTCTGAACCGTTAACTTAATTATGTTAGCCCATTTATAGCTCACTTAGAAAGCCCGATAAATTGTAATAGTTTTGAGACATTATATTCTAGTTCCTGATACGTTTGTTGCTACAATACATTTTTGAAAGCTATACGAATGTTTGTTTACACACAAATTTGTGAGGTTTAGCGGAGAACATAAATATTTTTACTTTAATACAAATAATTCGAATACACGGAGAGTACTCGAAATCCATGTTTTTTATGTGTAATTTTAATTTATTGTTATTCATATTTTTACAAAACTAACTAAAATGTAAAAACTATAGAATATCAATTTAGTCCGACAAAGTTTCAGTAAAATGAAATGTTAAAAATTACATTAACTCGAGCGCCGGTGCGAAATACTACATTAGATCCGTTACTCTTATGTCAGCTCTACGGAAAACAGCTGATGAGCTCTCGATCTAATTTATTACTTTTTATACAAAGATTACTGTTCCAATAATACAAAGTACGACAATAAATCCACAAAATTAAAAGAAAGCAGATGTGAAAATTTTTAACATAAATAATTTCGAATTTTCGGATCAAAAATACAGTCATTGTAGATGGGAAAAATTGTATTATTTTTGTCTATGACCAACAAATTGATAATGCTGCACCACTGGATTACCCAAATCTTTCAGAATCACTGAGGCATAGAGTTTGTTTAGAAAGGACCATTTAAAGTGAGCCCAGATTTTGCTTTCCCCAAGAAAAAAAATGGGCGTCAATTCGCCAATATTCCAAAGTATTGTTTGTTTGTTTGATTGTAATTAAGCACAAAGCTACACAATGGGCTATCTGTGCTCTGCCCACCACGGGTATCGAAACCCGGATTCTAGCGTTGTAAGTCTGCAGACATACCGCTGTGCCACTGGGGGGCTCCAAAGTATTACATCTTAGTAAATGGAAAAAAAAGAATACAAAAAACTGGCTTATGTACTAAAAAATTAATTAAACTTATTTATTCTGCTACAAAATGATTTATTCTAAACAAAGGAACTGATAAATAAAAGGCTCTACGTCTGGTTCATCGACTGAACATTAATTCATTTATGAAGAGTTATTAAAATAATCCTCAAGATATAAAAGCTCCTCTTGAAAAGCGCTTGAAGTTCATTTAAAGAAAGGTAAAATGATTGATCAGTCAGAAATGTTTTATTGAAGCTGAAAGAAAGTACTAGCTCGATATTTTGATGCGCCTAATTTGAACTGCGCAATCAAATGCAGAAACAATATTGGCTCATACCAAACAATAAAAACTAATTGCAGAAACAATATCGGCTCATATTAAACAATAAAAACTACTTGAAAGAAATGAAATAGCTTGCTAAGTTTGATTCAGTAATGGAAGAACATGCGGTGATTGGTGGTTATGTGCAATTGGTGAAGTAGATATCTTTGAGCAAAATAACAGGGATGGAAACAAAGTTAAAAGCTTAGAAGAAGCAAGATTTCAAGCTGCTGAAGTCAAGTAGACTTTATTGGAGATAAGATGTATAGAGATTATGCAGTCACGTGACTGAAAGTGTAACTAGTTTTACAATCTGCCATTTTGGACGTAACGTTACATTGTGTCCAGGAAAACTTTGCGTTTAGCACTTTGACAAAGGATTTAGATGAGCCGTCTAAACAGTGGTACAAGGTAAAATGTCAGCAATTTGGAATGGCTATAATTGACCCGTACTCTATTCCCCCGGCAATGACCCCAAGTTTAGCTGCCGCTTCGTTAGTCATGTTGACAAACAGAGACACAGTTATGGACATTTCCAACATGGAATACCTAGATATTTTCAGTTATCTAGTTTTTAATGCTAGTGCCTCATATTATACAAAGTATAGATGCCTATAAATACTTTGTGACAGACTGGGTGCACAGTGTCAGACTGTGGAAAGTGTACGCCTTGTCAATGTCAGTTTTTGTAATATACTTGAAGGCCAACAACTGCTACAAAAACTGTTAAACTGGACCAAGACGAATTCTTTATTTGCTTAGTAGTATTTCATGTATGCTGACGATTGATATCTTTTCAAATATAAAGAAAATCGACTTGTTTGTGAGGTTGTTTGCTAACGTTCACTACAACTATTAATATTAGATATAATTGTTTACGACGTAATGCGTGGATTATAACGTTACGTTATATTTGTATTTGCATTTCATAGGCCCTATAAGAGTAAAGCTTTTAATGCATGATTCTATCCAAATATTCACATTTTTCATGAAGCAAGCACTGCAAAGCATCAGCTACAGGCTCCTAAATATACTTATAGATTCTGAGATAATATAATTTATTAATGTGTATGTGGATATCATGGGTGTCCGCAGAAATTTTTTCCGGGGGGGGGGAGTAGTGTGAAATTGTGAATTGGGTTAAAATTTTATTAACATATACTGAATGAATAAACAAAAAAGAATTATGTTTCTCATTTTCCAGGTGAGGTAAGTGCCTCCCCCCCCCCTGCCTACGCCCATGGTGGATATATGTGTAATTAATGGCGGTTTAATATAATAAAATGACTAAATAGTGACAATTTACAGTAAAACTTGTATTTTCATATTTGTGAAGTACTGATCCTGTTTGACAATAAAATGGTAAAGACATTAGGACTAATAAGGTTGTTTATTTACCAGTAGTTCACACATTAAAAAAATATGTATTAATGTTATATTTCAGCCCTCATTCATAATTGTGGGCTGGGATGAAGTATTATATTAGGTTGGCTTGACTGGGTCTGTATCAAAAAATATTCCCTGTTCAAGCCTATAGCTTGAAGCTTTTGTAGTGCTGGTATTAATATTCATGATATTTTCATTGTCTGAAAGAAAATACTTTTAATACAATACGAATATGTTTGTAGGTATGTCATTTACAAAGACTGTCCGACAGTCTTTCTAGTGTTTGGGTTGCAGTTCAACTAGAAGGCCAGGTCTTGACTGCACATTGCACGTGTGTAGCATGACTAGGAAAGTGTTGCACCCATGTAGCAGCCACATTATTCTATATGAAGACAGCAACAAATATGACCGAAGGTCAGACATGTACTTTGTACAACCAACAGCAACCAACCAATTGGCATTATTACACGATTCAGTTCTAAGCATTCAACTGCTAAGCTCACCGTTATTTCATTAGTTTTCTTACGTCCAATATGGCGAAATAAACAAAGCCGACCCAATGCATGACGTCACGTGCATGACCTCTATTGAGGTCGTGGCAAAGCCCTAGGTGAAAAAATGAGATCCTACCATTTTCTCATATGGCCGGTTTTATAGCATGAAGTTTTTTATTAACATCAATCATGGTAGCATGCTTTTACAATCCTCATTTAATGCAAATAAATTTGGATAAAAATTTGCTCGAAAGCAACAAACCAATTCTGATGCATTATAGAGAAGAAAGATTTGTTGATATTTAAATAACAGATGAGAATATTATTTGAACAAATTAATATACTTTCATATCTCAAAAAGAAACGTCTTAAAAGCAAATACACACACACACACAACACTTTTCTTATAAAGCACTGAAGAGACATTTGAAGATGTGCTTAACCAATTTGAGATCAGTTTATTAACGGAGCAGTGATTTCAGCCATTACATAAATAGAGGACAGACATAAAACTATAGAAAGTGTGAAAGGTAAGTTTGGAATATTATGAGCTTTACGGGAGACAGCTGAAATGCCTAATGAATTGTTAAGCGAACGTTGCAATAACTTGCAAAACAACTTGAGCCCCAAACAAGAATAAGATCTCAATGGAGGGGATATTTTCTAAAAACGTTCAAGGATATGTAGTTTGCTTTCAAAGAAAATGACAGCATTTGAAACTCTCCTCTTTTTTGAGAATTTCTGTAACGCTTTCAGTAACAGTAGCTTTTTCAGAAAGGAGCTTTTCAGAGTAAAAGCTGATAGAAACATTCCTGCTGTCAACTATAGCTCAGGGTGATTTGTGATGTGGCCTCAAAAATACCGCAGACAATGATTTTGACTAAAGCAATTTACCATTTATGTATTTTGGTATTATATATTCCCCAGGTACCATTCATTTTATTTCGCGTGGACTCTTTAATAAGTGTACTTATATGTGTTGTGTTAATATACTTTTTAGTTTATGAAAATAACACAATCAGTATTTTCAGGAGGGTGGGGCAAAATATCCCCGTTAGGGCCCCTGATTGGCAACAAAACTAACCTGCCGGATTGGTGTCAACGACCTGATCAGGAAACTTGTAAAGTTACAGAAAATATCAGGAGAATAAATATTTTTAGCCGCGGCATAGCGGCTCATAGAATGGCTCTGAGTTTTTAAAGTAAAATATTTTAGCTCATAGCTCCATAATATCTTGACCGATTTGAGATCTAATTACAGTTTTGAACTCAGGATTGGTGTATTTGACCATACCCAAGGTCTCATGGATTAATTTACTCTAATCCTGCCTAAAATGATTTCAATTTGAGGGTAGGCTGGTGCAGATACTGATGAATAATAAAATCGAATTGGGTATGGCTAATAAAAAAGAAAAAAAAAAAGGTCTCTCAGATTAATTTACTCTAATCCTGCCAAAAATAATTTCAAATACCGCGGCTCTTGAGGATTCCGTCTTGTGTTTTAATGAGACAGCACAACTCAAAACGTCTCCACATTTTCAGCATAATCCGTGATATCATGTATTTCGTCTATAATATTTATAATTAAAAAAAAAAAACTGTCGCCCTCCTTTTTTATTTTCATGGTCCTTAAAAAGTGTGAAAGTGTTTTTAACTTTCCTGACTATTATTATAATTAACCTATGTTATGACGTCATGAAACTATGTAGCTGTTTTGAAACAAAAATAAAACTAATAGATTTAAGGCTATCAACATACCCATAAATTTATGAACAGCCTGGTGTTTTACTCCTTAAGACTAAACTAGTATTTAATAAAAAATTAATAAATCATTAGCAATGACGTCAGTGCATGCCATAGTTTGTAAGCCGTGTTACTATAAGGCCTACGCTTGAACATTTATATTTGGTATGTTTATGTTATTGTAATTTATCTGTAGCTTGATTTTATAATTGTTTTTAAGTTACATTCTATTCCATGATCTTGTTCATGTGCTATTCCATTAAGCTTTCTATGTTTAATTTTATATATATATATTTTTTTTTTACCGAAGTTAGAACTGTACAGAGTGCTGTGGTTCTGTTAATTATATGTTATTGTTACTCACGAGTCATATTTCATAATGTTCATAACCAATGTAATTAAGTTACTAACGTTAGTATTAATTAATTTAATGTTACTATCAGTATACATCGAGTTTTTGTTTACTTTTACTAGTCATGGTTCTTGCCCGAGTCTTACTGAATTTGTTAAGATTTTTGACTTAAATCTTTTTTTTTTGTTTTGAAATACATAACTTTGGGCGTTTTTTTTATTCTAGTAGTACTCAATAGTAGTAGTAATACTAATAGTAGTATTGGCTGTGGAGGTAATTTTAGTTTTAATTTTAAAACGTTATTTATTATTGCTATTAACTTGTAATAATGATAACTATGTTTCCAATTTCTGATGAAAGCCTGTGGCATAACTTTGCACCAAACTTGACAAGGAATTTTTTGATAACTTATCAGTTTATTACAACATTCAGTGCTATGTGGATTGACTTTTATTTTTAAGGTGTTGACACCCAGATGATGGGTGAAGTATTTAGGTCAAGTGTAAAACTAAACTTATATTTAAGTTCAAATAGTTCTTTGTTATTGTATTTGTAGGCTTTGGCAATCTTTGTAGTATTCCATCATATCATTTACCACAGAAGAGTTTGCCATTTAAGTATATCTTATTTTTGCAATGTATAAAAACTATAATAAATAATCTTAAGCACAGTTTGTGACAAAAATTCTTACCATGTAAAATTTGCTGAACAATTGTATGATTGTGTGTGTATACCACTTTCTTTATTGGCGTTGACAAATTAAACGTATAATAATAATAAAGTATTTATCACGTTTCCATAAAATACAGTGTAAAACTTAACTACAGAATAAGAAAGAATTTGTAAAATGAGTATGTGGATCTAGAAATAATAAGGAATGATATAGCTATTCTCTAAGGGTGTAAAAAGTATTAAAGTGTTTAATATAATAGTTTACATAATGAAAGATTGTTTCATTAAATATATGGAAAAAAGTATTTGTAGTGAGAAGTATGGATAGACTAGAATATGCTTGTCAGCTGGTAAAGTGCAGGAATGGTAGTTTGTGTGAGACACTTTAGTTTCTCATACTAAGGATCATTCTATTCAGATGTTTAGGGATAGAAATAAACATGTGGCTCTTTTAAGAGTGTTTCATGAGGCTAGATACAGGAATTGAACTACTTAGCAGGATCCAAGGTTTAAATTAAATGTTATCAGAGAGTTACTAGAGCAACAGGTTGGTTGGACCTATGAATAGCTAAGGGTGAATTATATTCTTAAAATGGACTCCACTTAAGCAAGTTAGGTACTAGGATGTTTGGGAAATTCTAAATATCTTAATTAAATACCGGGTAAATTGGCAAAGGAGCTTAGAAAATTAGGAATAAAGAAATTGATAGAAGATTCAGGGAAAAGAGGAACTTAGACAAGGATATTTAGAACATAACAATTTATTAGTAGTTTTAAAGATAAGTATCAGATTTAAAGATAAGCACAATAGACTCAAAAATAAGCTTAGGTACTATTCTAATATTAAAGATATTAGGAACAAAATAGATTAGTTCAGAGTTGTAGTTGAAATGGAAAACTGTGATATAACAGGGATTACTGAAACCTGATTACTTTTGGAAAATATTTATAATAGGTATTAATTTGAAATTCAAGGTTATAAGTTATTTAATAATGAAAACTTTTTTAAAGAGGGGGGGCTCTTTAAATATGAGATGAATTGTAGCCTGTTATGATTGAAGACAAAAACAGGTAGTTAAGATTTTGAAACTGTATGGATAACAATCAGGGGTTTCAAGGGCATAAAGTTTTTAATTGGCAGATGTTATAGGCCATCTGATCAGAGAAGAGGTCAGTGAGAAATTTTATAATGAGATAAAGGCTAATGTAAATGTTAATACTGATAGAGTAATTATGGGAGACCTTAGATACATTGATTAGGATTTTTAAATAGCATGAGATGATAAAGGTGGGATTTTTATACCAAATGTGGGAAAAATAAGAGATCCAACCAGGCAGAATGCCATTTTAGATTTACTGTTAACCAATGAGTATATGGTTGCAAGAGATGAAGTATGGGAACATTTGGGGAAGAATAATCATTTTGATAATTAGATAGATAATTATAGTATTTTGGCACTTGTGTATAAAGTTAAAATCATAAATAATATTCAATGTTAAACTGGTACACAATTAAATCTTTAATTGTGTACCAGTTTAATGTTGAATATTATTTATGATTTTAATTAGATAGATGTTTTACTTTTATGTTGAGACAAAAAAGAAATGAAAGTGTAGTTCCTAATTTTCAGAAGGCTAATTTTGAGGTCGTGAGGCAAGATGTAACATTAGTGAAATTGGAAAATGAGTTAAAATATGTTGTAGGGACAGGGTTGGGAAAATTATTAAACAAAATTGTTTTTAATTGAAGAGAACCATGTTCCTAAAATGAGAAAAAGGATAACAGAGTAGATCTAAATGGCCTACTAAAGAAAATCTATAATAAATGCCATAAGTTTAAGAAGCTTAAATTGACTGATTGGTTGGAAGATTTATAGGAGTATAGGGCAATTATGGATTTAGTTTAAAAAATTAAGAAATTCAAAATGGGTTATGAGAAACAACTCTGACAACATTAAAAATAATAGCAGGTACTTTTTGTAAGTATCGTTAAGGTAAACAAAATTTTAGAATACCAGGGCTTTTGCTTTAAAATCAGTTTGAAGTAACCAACAGTTAAGCTCCATAGTTTTGTTAAAATATTGTTTCAAATTAAAACTCATCCAAAATATGGAAAGACATTATTATACGTATTGTTAGGGATTTGTAAATATTTTTCCACAAACTCAAAAATTAAGCATGACAATAGTGGAATTTCTTTGAAGCATAACATAAATACTTTTCAATAACTGTACATCTGCTTTTTTTTATACAATGTTGTCTCTTATTGAGACATTTAATTTGTCAATTTGATATTTTGTAATAATTTTTTACTTTATAACTATGTGTAAATCTAATTAAATCCTTATATGAATTATTTTACTGCAGACTATATAATTGTATTGTGAATGTAAGTTAAAAAATGCTATAAAAACATGTCTTACCCACATCTATTGTATTGTACTTATTTGGGTACTCAAAGTATTTCTGAGATCTGAGGATACAATAAAATTCTAACAACACAACTTCATTGGAAAACTTCATTAAAAATAGTTACTAATAAAAGTGATCAAAATGTAATAAGTATTTTATGTAATCTTTTGTATGTATGTCCTTCCATTCTGAAAGCTGCATTTTCTCTGCACTATATTTGTAAAAAACTATCGGAATAACACAAAACACTGCAAAAAATAATGAGTGATCAAGTGGATTTAATACGATTCTGAGGAAAAGTATGTGTTGAAAACTATGAGATGGTTAAGGTTTTAAATTTTTGTTTCTTTTCTGTTTTTACAAGAGAAATTAACAACATTCAACAGAATTTTAAACTTTGTTTTATAAATGACTTAGCAAAGAATCTTTTATCAGACTTTCAAAAACTTCTCCCACAACTGATATAAAGCTAATAGACTTTTAATTACTGATACAATTTTTTTAATATCCTTGAAAAGAGGAGTAACAATAGCCAACTTACAATCTTATGGTGCCTACACAGTATTCAAGAACGTAGAAAAAGTAGTAGCAAGTGGCTCACATTCCCTATCCTCCCTCAAAACCCTTGGGTAAATATTATTTGGCTCAGTTTTATCATTCTTTTAAACTTTCCAATTCTTTTTAACAAGCTCAGAATTAATTTGATCATTTCAATGGATTTTGTTTCCATCTAGCAGCTTTTCAGGATGAGAAATGTTGCTTAAGTCTTCATTAATAAGAATTGAGAAATATAGAATGTAATAACCCAGCTATCTCATAATCATCACATATGAGCCTTCCTGTATCATCCCTCAAAGTTCATACTTTTATGCTAAAATTTTGCTTACCCTTAATGTATTTAAAGAAATCCTTACTATTAATGTTTACATTTTCAGTAATCTTTTTTTCATATAGTTGTTTTCAATTTAATAATTTCCCATTTGACCCACCCTTGATATTCTGTAATTCTCTAAATCTTTCATCATAACATTAAAATTAAACTTCTTCTTATCCATAAGATCCCCATCAGATGCAAAAAATGTCCGAGACAAATCTATAATGTCCTCTGAGTCCATGTCTATCATTTGGTTTTGGCTTAATTTCTTAGACTGAGCTCGAGTCACAGCAAACAAGGGAAACACATTGGGATTCTCCTCAACGACAATATCATCCTTAGATGAAACAGTGATCAGCTCGCTAACCATTTTAGGTTCGACAACAACTTTCCCCCAGCCAAATCGTTTCCCAACAATAATGATACACCTTTAATTGGCAGAGTAGGTCTTACTCCAACCACAATTGGTCCTGAAACTAGGTCTGATGCTAAATGAATGTTATGAAGAGGAACATTAACAAAGCCACCCTCAATACCCTGAGCAATAACAGACTCACCAGTGGTAGAATTTGATTCTAAAGGCAATACACCTTCTAACTATAATGATTGAGTCGCCCTAGTATCACGTAGAATACGTATGGGTATGGGATTGCTGGTGTCATTTGTCAAAAACACAGAACCAACAGACACAAAAGGTCTAAACTCCTCCCTGATTACATCAGCCTTTATATCAGTGGCCAAATTAACAACATCGGGTGATCTGATGAAACTACGTCCATATGTGGACACAAATGCACTGGTTGTTGCCTCCTTTTCTTTTCTTCTTCAAACACCAACAATTGGACATAACATGACCAGGTTTTTTACAAAAATAGCAGACAGGTCTTGATGGTTTTGATGAAATTTTAGCCTGACTGTATAAAGATTTTGGACTAGAGGAGCTGTATTTTTTTGAAGAATCCTCAACTTTAGTGGATCTAACCCGATACAGGTTTTTGTTGAGATGGTAGGAATTTCTTTTTATGAAAAGTAGTCTTATGTGTTAAAGTGTAGTCATCTGAAAGAGCAGCTGCTTACTGTAGTGTTTCAACTTTATTTTCATCTAAGTAAGTTTTGAGGTCTTCACGTGCCCAATGTTTAAATTCCTCAATTAGACATAATTGTCTAAGTTTGTCGAAACTGTTGCCAATATGCATAGAATTGCACCATCGATCAAAATAAACCTGTTTTTTTGTGGGCAAATTCCATATTTCCATATAAGTTTGATTATCTTGTTTGCAATAATCTCGAAACATTTGGCGAAAATCCTCGGGTACTATCTCATATGCTTTGAGAATAGCTGCTTTAACCTTATCATAATTCATACAGTCTTGTAGAGAGAGAGTGGCATAAGCTTCTTCTGCTTTACCAGTTAAAACACTTTGTAATAATAATGACAATCTTTTGGTGGGCCATTCCATGGTCTGGGCAACCTTCTCAAAATGTTGGAAATATTTATCAACTTCATTTTCATCAAATGATGGTACTTTAACATATTGATTAAGTTCAAGTTGTCATTTTGCCATGGTCAATCGTAGTTGAGTCTAATTTCTTTCTTGGCTTCGATTTGAGTTTGTTCTTTATCGGTTTCAAATAGAGCTTGCTTGTCCTTGAGACGTGTATTCTCTTTCAGCTTCAATGTGAGCTTGTTCTTGCTCTTTCTCAGCTTCAATATGAGATTATTCTTTCTCGGCTTCAATACGAGCTTGTTCAAGCTCTAACTTATCTTTATCATTCAACCTCGATTGGCTAGTGGGTACACAAGAGTATTCCTCTAATGCTTCCTCAGGCAACAAATCATCATTGACTAGTATTTTGATAATATGCTTTTTTAGTTCATTTTTTCTCATTAATCTTTTAACTTCTTTTTCTAAAATGATGGCAATTTTGAGCAATTCATTTTTGTTATATCTTTCCAGTTGTTTGAGGGAGGGTGATTCAAGAAAATCTTGATAATCAGACATGAAGAAATCTTGTTGGCACTGATAGATATAAATTGAATTATGATTTAAATTGTACTTTAGATTGAATTTTGTCTCTGATTCAGACAGATCTCGGACACGAGCCCCAATTTATTATGTTAAGCATTACAATTTCTAATAGCCTAAAACTGAGTTAAATTGTAATTTAGATTTAGTACTTAAATATTTGGCAATATATCTCAAATTTATGTTATTTGCCAAAAAGATTGATAAACAGTTTTTTTTTGTTTATTACAAATATGTTTTAATATACAGATAACAATGCAATTCACAATAACAGTTATTACAAATAGTTATTACAAACAATGATTTATATACAAACGTTTCACAAACGTACAAGCAATATAAAGTATTCTTTCTAGTCTGGAACTTCCTTGATGTCTTATCGAGGGTTGATGATGAGCGAGTTAATTTCGAGTTGACATAGGTATAATTCACTTAACAGGGAGCTAGCTAGCCCTGTAGTTCTCGCTGACCACACGATTACAAATCGAGTTTCCGCTGATGACATTAGGTAATGTTTTTGTAAAAGTACTAATGTCTGATGTGAATCCACTGAAGTTAAATGGTTTGTAATTTTCAAAATTTATAAACGTTCCTGATTAAATATCTGATAGGCACGTTGTGTTGGTTATATTTATAGGCATTCTCGAATTTTCAGCTTTACGTAATAATACTGATGCTGACTCTGTCGTTTACATACACACTTATATTGTTGATTCTTACACTCAAGAATCTTCTACAACTTTAGAGAATAGGTGGGAGTTTTGCAATACATGAGGTTTCTGTTCTAGGTCCCTTTACCCTTAGACATTAGACATATGATTCTGGGCCCATTCACAACAGGTCGATCTTCCTGCTTATCATGTGCCATTAGCTTATATCTTGATGATGGACCATGTCACTTAGCCAATCTACATTCTAACAATGGAGTGATCTCTACTCCTCAGGTTCTTCATGGGATTTGCACTTGGACAAGCCCTTTGATACATTTACCTCCCTTCACAGCTCTGGGCTTCCTCCCACTTGGTCCGTTATAACTTATCCTTTGCCTTCTATTTTTTCAGCCTGTTCTGGTTTCCTCATTTCCAATATTCCCATTCCCCCTATTTGTTTACTCCTTCTGGCCCTCATCTTTGCAGGCTACTTTCCTTCTTGAATGTTATTATTGGTGCCTCTTTGCCAAGCTCAGCCTTCATCTGCTGGCACTCAGACCTCCTTTTCTCTGCTTCTCACTCCTCACCTGCTATTACCACTGTTTGGATGTCTATCCTATAGTTGCTTCTTGCACCCTCTTATACTTGATTTCTTTATCCTGCTTCCTGATCTGAGCTTTCCTGCTTCAGTCTTTCACTGCTCAGGAGGTTGGCTGTACCTTCACATTTCCCTTCCTTCTGTCTCTTGCCTATTGGGTCATTTGGACCGACTCCAATGATCTGCAGGGTTGTTCAGTATGAATTTTTCATAGACATATTTTGTTCCATGGAATCATTTCCTTCTCCCTTTACTGGTTGGGTCTGTTACCTCCTCTATTTGGCATGTTTGTCTCAATTTGGGGATGCTCGCAGACTGACATTTCCTCCCATTCAGTTTTTAGCCTTTCTCCTTCTCTTCCATCTCTTTTTTGCTAGCCATAGGATGATACCATCCAGGCAGGCATATAAATGTTTTCCACACATTCATCTCTTTATCTCCTAATAGTTTTTGGCTTCCACAGGTCAACATTCTTCTATCATCCTACTGCCTTTGAGAATATTATGTATTGTTTCTCTTTCAGAGCCCCTTTTGCATTCATAGGATCCCATAGGTGGCTGGTGGTTTACTTATTTCCCAAAAGCTGCATCAAGCCAGGATAAAGGAAAGTGCTCATACCATCCACCATGGCTCCATGTGCTTATTATTTTTCTGGATGAGATACAGTCTTCCATGAGTGTGCCACTATGGAACCCTTGCCATTGAGTGTCGCACTCCATGGGCTTTTTTTGGGTGCTTTCTGAAAAGAGCTCATCTAGGTAAATCTTTGCACCAACCCTTCCATACTTCATCATGGAATTCTAGCTTAATTGTGTGAAGAGGGGTTGTATTTGTCTCAGAAGTTAACATTTTCCTTACCTGGAAATGTATTTCCAATACATACTCACCTCTTACAGGTATGTTCACTCACCTTTACCACTTCCACTACACCATTGTATTCCTTTCCTCATCAAAGAAGGAAGATTAATGAGTGCAAATGCATAGAGGGAACTAGTGTGCATGGTTATGTGTTGCCTTCCTATTGGTGGAGGGCTAGATCATCTTCATGTGATAGTGCAGTTCATGGTAGATCACATGAGATTAGGTAGGAATTGCCTCAAGGCTAGTGTCATGCAAATCTCTAAGGCAGACACACAGGAAGGATATATTAACTATGTGAAGAGGTGAGTGTCTATAAGAAATACATTTTCAGGTAAGGAAGACGTTAATCTTCATGTGCTGCTTTCAATTGTTTTAGCTACAGAAATATTAAAGTTATAGATATTTCTGAAGAAATGAAAACTGGAACTGAGGGGTATCCCAACCTTTAGCTGGTTTAATTTACAAATAACTTTGCACTATGTTATGCTGTTACTGATATTTCTGTAGCTTCATTTTTAACTCTTTCTTCAGGATATTGACATGTTGGAAAGAGCAAACAAAGACTGAATTCTGCATTTTTTATTTTTTATTAAACTTGAACTATGAAAATTAATTTTTTTATATAATTTACTTATTGTATATTAAAATATTGTTTAATAACTTGTGAATTACGTGACTGTTTAGGCTGTATGATAATGAAAGCTGATGAAATAAGTTTAAACACCTTGGTGACTTAAGTTTGGTAATTTTATATCAAAACTTGCCTATAGTGTTTTCTGTGTTGTTAAATTATGATGCCAAATGAATTATTATCTTTTTTAAGTAATATATTAAGGTATGAGCAATATATAAAAAATAAAGAATTAATTTTGTTTTAATTGCTTTTCGTTTTATGAACCTTCTGAATGGATTACATCAGTAACAGCATTAGGCAAATTTAAAATTGTAAATTATTATAAATGTGTGTTAATTATGGTATTAATTAAGCATGTAGGATATGAAAGTTTATTAGTCAGTTAAATATGCCCAGTGACATGAGGTGGTTTTAGTAACTTGTAAAACATTGATAATCATTCTTTTTTGCATCAAGGTTTTAAGTATAAATATCTACTGGAACATAATAGTGAACGTGCATGTGTTACAAGCTCCTGTTTTTTATTTTTTAGGTTTTTATACAGTTTGAAATTGGATTATGGCTGAAAACATACCTAATCTTGGTCACAGCAGGTTACTGCGGTTTCTATACATAGGGTCAGAAACAAATTGTTATATTCCAGGTGATAGAAAATTAACATTGGAAAATATACACTGCATTGATTCCAGTAGTCAAGAGGCAGCAGTAAAAGAAATCATAAGAGTAGCAAAAGAAGGCTCATCGGTGTATCCTGATGCACTGCCTTTTGCTCTTGCTGTTTGTTCACAATCCCAGAATATGAAAGTTAAACAAGCAGCCTATTCAGCATTGAAAGAAGCATGTCCAACTGCATCAGAGTTATTCAGTTTTGTTCATTTTGCCGAAGAGGTGAGCAAGCCAACCACAGGTTGGGGAAGAAGTCGCCGAACTGCTGTGGCTAACTGGTACAAAACAGATCCCAAGAGATTGGCAGCTTTGATAACTAGAGTTATGTCTCATCGTGGTTGGAGCCATAAAGATTTGTTTCGACTGGTACATTTAAAGACTGAAAATAAAGGTGAGTAGAATCAGAGTTTAGATTTAGTTTTGTTTAATTATTGCAATGATCTCATTCAAATTAACAAGGCTTCAACAAATAACTTTAATGACTGAAAGTTGTTCAGTTACCTATACTGGATAATTGATTACTAAGAATTAGGGTTTCTGATTATTGCTATTTTATATCATTCCACCTATCCAAGTAATTGAAATACTGCTCTTATGTTTCTTTGTTTGTTAACCATTTCCACACAGGTCAAAGGCCATGTTGTGATAACAAAACTCAAGTTTTAAATGATATTTTAAAGCTTTCTTTTGAAATAAAAGAATAAAAACTTGTATAATATGAAACTTTGAATTATAATATACTTGATAATATTCATTTCATTACAATATATCGACAGTAAAGTGATTTAATTAAATTTTGAATGTAACTCAGCATGTGCAGAATGGGTTTTAAAAATGGCATCATTATTGGGTTAAGGTTTACTGTCATTTTCATTTGTGCAAGCACTGTTCAGCTTTCACTTATGTTTCATTAAATTTTTTTTTATTCACCTAAGCAAACAGGATAAAGTTCTATGCTGGATTTGTTTTTATTTATAGTATTTTGATAGTCAAGTAGGAACTTGGATTTCACAGAGTCTAAGTTAGAGTTAACTTTATTGCATTATACTGTTTATTAAGAAGTGTTCATCACTTTTTCTACTCCTGCACCTTTTATTTTAAAACACACAATCAATTACCCTCTTGTTTATTGTGAAGATTATTAAACACTGTTTTTGCATGAATCTGTGTCATGTCTCATTCTTTGTGGCCTGTTTGTAACAACTCATTGAGAAGTATACGCTAAAGACCAGGGTCAGAGAATCTTCTGTTTTTAGCAGGTCTAATGTCTCTGTCCTGCTGGTTATCTGAGACATCGAGTGGTACCACAACATCTTTGTTCCTTAACTATTGTTGAAAGGACTAAGTATGCATACACAAATGTCACATTTCAGCAGTTGAATAAATTTGATATCTGAACAACACAGGTAATGTTTTCTTAGTTGAGATGTCATTCTTAAAGAGAAATTCATTGGAACTTTGGGAATACTTAAATTCATTATTTTCATTTTCACTTTACTTAATGATTAAGTATATTTTATTAGAAGTTTCAGCTTTTATAGTAAGGAAGATTATTTTTAGAACAGGTACGATGTTGTTTCGATCATCAGGTGATGATTCTCAAGTATACGTTTTACAGTTATAACGTGTGCATTTGAGAATTATTGCACCAGTGATTGAAACTTGTATTTGTTTTTAAAATAATTTTCCTTACTATAAAAGCTGTAACTTGTAATAAAATATACTTAAATTCTTTATTTTCCACTTGCCTATTGTAGATTAAAACAAAATAGCATTGTTCAATGCTTGTATACACTTACTTTGGAAAGTAATAAAAACTAATTTGGTCCTCACATCTATTCTAAGGGTGTTATAAAAACCCTGTGGCCTATGTTTTTCACTTGTACATATTTTTTATTTTCTTACATGTCCAAAATTTAATTTAAGTGACCCGTTTTTTAAAAATCAGTGGGAATTAGACAATTTCTAATGCATTTGATAATTTTCCAGCATTGAATGTGTTATCATATACTATTTGACAAATAGTTGTTACACAAGAGCTTAGTAGACACCTGATTATCCATTTAATCAAATATTAATAATGGTTGGAGATGGCTTG